CATGGAGTGAAGGGTTTCTTATTTTAAATTTTAATCAAGGCTTGGTATATATCCTACTATCAGGGATCACGATGATCTTGATTTATGTAATTTTTCTTTGTTGGGCTTAATTTATTTTTTTATTTTTGGCTTGCCTATAAATATTAGGCCTGCTACTAGATGTTAGACTTACACTCTCCCTCTCTTTTCTCTTTCCTCCTTCCTCCTTTCTATACTTCTCTGCTCTTCATCTGTTTCTTCTTTCCAGTGTGTTCCCTTGTCACTTTCTCTAGTCGAATAAAAGAAAATCCTAATTTTTGATGCTTGGTATATGAAATGAATAGTTGACACTTGGTTATGTAAGTGAACATGAGTTATTGTAAACTACATTTTGCATCTATTAGATATTTGAAATGTTACAAATATACTAAACCATAAAATTTAGAATAAATAAACTATACAATTTAATATGCAATATCACTCACAATAAATTATACAAATTATACAATTTTGTCATCACTGTTGGATGAACTTAGCAATGTAATCAGTCAATGATTTTATTCTATTGTAAATTGTATCCCTTGCGTTGCTGATTTATTAATGATTTTCTCTGATCCAATATTTCTGCAAATATTATCTTTAACAAAGAAATTGTTTATGTAGGTCTCCCGTTTGATTGAAATGCAAACACCATTGTACCTTGACGGAGTACATTACCTTCATCCCTATTTTCAGACAAAGCATGAAAGGTATGAGAGCAGCAGTGCAAGCACCTTGCAATCTCAACAATTATTTTGAGCACTATACTTGATGTATGTATTGTATCCCCTCTGACCCATATATGATGCTCATTTATTTCATGTTCTGTTGTTTGTTCGATTATTTCCTCATAGCTTTAGTTTTTGCTTTTGTCACATATTTTAGAAGCTATCAATAAGAAGTCATTCTTTTTAAGGTTCATGGTTCTAGACCTCTCTATGCCATATAACCTTTTTGGCTCCTTCTAGCACTCCGGATATGATTCTTGGTGTTATACCTTATAGTGTTCGGTTGTTAAAAAGAGTTTAGTTCGGTTGTCGATATTTGAATAATAAGTTTTTGTACGATTGTTGATATCTCAATGATTGATCTTTGTTTGGTAGTTGATATTCAAATAGACAAAACAGACGAAATGGTGTGCAAATAAAAGCCTTCCAAGTGATAGGGTGATCTTTTTGTAAATAGACAAAAATGATATTTTATGAAATTTTAAGGTGGGCTACTTACATAAAAATAAGGGAGTTTCTAAATGAAAATGACTTCTCGTTGGTTCATGTATAAATAAGTGATAACAGTTTGAGCTCCCAAATTGTGCGAGCTCGACACTAGTTGTAAATTATAGGTGTCGATTTTATATTTGATATCTATGTTTTATTTATTTTTTAAAAAAATAGAGATACTTAAAGTGGTACCGCTCAAGTTTTTTAAAATTTTCTTGTTTTTTTTATTTTTTTTTCCCCCCCCCCCCCCCCAAAAAAAAAGGAAGAAAAAAGGAAAGAAAGAAGAACTAACTTGTTTATTTGTTTTCTGAAAACATTTTTTAGAAAATTGTACTTTTTTATTTTCTGTATTTTTTTTTGTTTTTACTGAATTTTTTAAAAAATATTATAAGCAATTTTTTCTTAAAAATTTTTAGACACTTAACATAAATATACTTAAAAAGTATAATTTTTGTGAAAGAAATCTTTTAAAAATTCACTAAGGCCAAGTTTGGCTACAAAGAAAAAAGTGCATTTATTTCATCTTTTTATCTTTTTTGGGTCACATCAATCAACATCTCCTCTCTACTTTTTCTACCCATAATACAAAAAAAGTCAAAAAGTGCACTTATTTAGTCTTCCCAAACTATTAATAAAAATACAAGAATTCAATATATTTTTTCTATTTTTATGTATTTATTAATTTTTTAAAATATTTTTTTATAATTTTTTTACTTCTTAGATACATATAAGTAAGGTGTATCTAAAAAAGTAAAAAAAAAAAATGCTTAAAATTTAAAAAATATTCATTAAAAACAAAAAAAAAAAATCAAAAAATAGAAAACTCAATTTTCAAAAAATTTTATCCAAAAATCTTAAATCAAACACACAACACTCTTTAAACTGTTTTTCTTGCCATCCATCCGTTTTGAATGCCATAACTATTTTAGATGATTTAAATACGATTGTGTTAAAAAGTGAAATTAAACTTATAGTTTGTTTTTATTTTTATTGAAGTTGAATGTTTTTCATTTTTTATAAATAATAAAATGTTAATTAATAAAAATATCCTCTTTTCTTTCTTTCTTTACTTATTCTTATTTTTTTAAAATTTTTAAATTTTTTATAATTTGACCCCTTCTCAAATCACAATCTTGATTCCACCTGGCTATATGGTTCTTTGGATGTCATTTTATTTCAGTATCTTGATTCCACCTGGCTATATGGTTCTTTGGATGTCATTTTATTTCAGTGACCATTGACTTACATACACTAAAAATCAGGGGTCAAAGTGTGTTAATTAATTCAATTTCTTCCACTTTGATTCTTTGGTAGATTCACCATTAACATTAAACTCTTTTGAAACTATGCTTTTACTACACTAATTAAGTACTAGTTTTTTTCTATTTTATTATAATGGCATTGGAGACAATGGAAGACAAAATGGATGCCGTGTGAAAAATGAGTGGGATGGTTGAAAGTTTTCAACCTAACTGAGCCTCCGTTTGAGCCTCCGTTTGAGAAGTGGGTTGACTTTTTAATTTTTTTAACTTTTTTGACTATTTTAGCCTGGATTAAAAAGCTTGATTTGGGAAGGACTTTTTGAATTTTTGGCTTTTTTGATTTTTTTTGTGAGAGAAGAGTGTAATAATTATGAGTTGGATGTGATGTATTGTTTGTTGTGGCTAAAACCTCAAAACCACTTGCCAAACACCACCTGAACTTCAAAGAACATTTCCATAAGAAGTATCCATTATTTCTCAACCTAATTGAACTTTAAAGATGTGTTTTCCAAAACGATAATGCTACGTAGCTCAAATTTTGTGGCTCAAAAGTGGCTCAAATGGCCAAAACGATGTCGTTTTGAGTACAGAACAACATAAAAATGGCCAAAACGACGTCGTTTTGGCTATTTGAACCACTTTTAAGCCACAAAATTTGAGTTACGAGACATTTTCCTTTCCAAAATTGTGAATGTTGTTTTGAGATTTCTCACCCTCATTTTGGGAGTATTTGATTCATTTAGTTGTAATTCATTGAGTTTTTTTATAAGAAAAATCAACGGCGTGTACTTTTCAAAAGCGGCAAACATTGTAAGAAAAATATCAACTTTTGCAATAAAAGTTCTGAATGTTTATAGGGTGCAGTGATAAAAATCACGAATATTGAATTTGTGTGTGCAACTTAGAAGTAGCATGTTCAGCTTGTTTGTTTTTATTTTTCAGAAAATATTTTTCAAAAAATTTTATTTTTTTTATTTTCAGTGTTTTTTTATTTTTACTGAATTTTTTTAATATTTTAAGCAATTTTTTTACTTTTTAGACACACTTAACATAAATACACCTAAAAAGTAAAAAAATTGTAAAAAAAATCTTTTAAAAATTTATTAAATATCAAAATACAAAAAAAATACAAGAATTCAGTACATTTTTTTATATTTTTATGTATTTATTAATTTTTTAAAATATTGTTTCACAAATTTTTTACTTTTTAGATACATCTAACTAAGGTGCATCTAAAAAAGTAAAAAAATGTTTAAAATTTAAAAAATATTCACTAAAAACAAAAGAATACGAAAACCAAAAAACTCAATTTTTAAAAAATTTAATCTAGAAAACTCAAACTAAACACACTGATTAGATTTTTTGTGATGAAAAAAGTTGCGTCATTTTATGATTTATATTATAAAATTTTGTGAAATGAGGATTTTTATGGTACATATCTTAAAAAAGTTGCATGCCATATATTTAAGGGTGAATTACACTAACGGTCCCTATAATTTGGGGTTTGTATCACTTTGGTCCATGGCTTTTCAATTGTGACACATTTGATCCTGAATTTTGAATCTTGTTCCAAATAAAGACAATTGAAGATACTATTGGATTTTTCAAGGGCAAAATCGTTAATTTGATAAAATATAAATTAATTTGACAAAAATAAATGTCAAAAAAATATTTTTGAATTTTTAAAATTATTTCTGTCTACTAAAGATAAAATTATATAAAATTGATAAATCTTTTAGACATTTATTTATTTATTTTGACCAAATTAATTTTTATTATGTATTTGGATGATGATCATGTAAAATTAATTTTTAAAAATTAATCATGTAATTTTTATTAATTTTTATCAATTTTACATAATTTTATCTTTGGTGGGTAGAAATAATTTTTAAAATATTTTTTTGACATTTATTTTTGTCTAATTAATTTATATTTTATCAAATTGACGATTTTTCCCTTAAAATTAAGCGGAAAATACCTTGGACCCCCAGTGGGGGTAACCCCCACCACTCCCACTGATTTTTGATTGGTTGAAAACTATTTTTTTTTTTTACCTTGCTCTCACAACCCTCCACGTGGAGGTGGGGATGCTGGGGGTCACCCCTCACTGGGGCTCCCAGCAGTGCTCAAATTAAACAATAGTATGTTCAATTGTCCTTATTTAAAACAAAATTCCAAATTCAAGATTAAATGTGTTATAATTGAAAAGTCAGACACTAAAGTGACACGAGTCCTAAATTATATGGACTGTTAGTTTAATTTGTCCTATATTTAATAATGACTTTTGTAGTGATTATAAATTATTATGATGTTAGTTATGATGGCTTGTATGAAGAAAAACAAATTAAGAAAAAATGTGAATGAAATATTAATTAATTAATTTTTTCTTTACTCTTTCTCTTTCGAAAAGTTGTGTAGTTAGCAAAACTATTCCTTTATCTATCTTACATGCAACAGTAATAAAATGAAACAGAAGAATTAACAATTTTGAGCAGGAATATAATAATTAATTTTTTGACCTCTTATTGAAATCATCATTATTCTAAATTGATTAATGGTGATTGCACATACATACATGTCATTCTTCTTTATCAAATGAAACATGAGGATGAGTATTTGAACGGAATGATCGTTACATTCCAATCTTTATTTTATGGAACCAAACAACTAGAAGCAATGCATATCCAAAAAGGGGTACTATCAGCTATTTCATAACCATTCATCTTCCAATGAGATCTCCAATGTAGACGATTCGAGTTGTGCAAATAAATGCTTTAATTACTATCAAACCCTGCAAAAATAACACACCCACATATTAGTATATCATTCATCTACAAACACAAAAACAATCCATGCATGCATACAATACAAGAAGTAAAAATACAAAATAGAATGCATGCATACAATACAAGAAGTAAAAATACAAAATAGAAACATGGGAAATTCTAATATATACTCTTTAAAAGGGTATACCATATGTACCCTCGATTATGTTATTTTTTTTTTTAATTATGATCAATTTTTTTCTTTAGTTATAATATTATTTTAATTCTGACTCATGAGTTTTTTAATTATGTCTCGTATTGTGTTTAGTTATGATAATTTTTTCTTTTTTAGTTATGATTCAAAAAATTAAAATAATGCCATTTTTCTTTTTAGTTAAGTGCATAGTGTTTCCCTAGAAACGTTACTTACTGTGCATATTCAACATTGATGTTGGCATTGGGAAATCTGGAGATGGCATCGAAGGCTTTGTTTGAAAGAAGTAGAGTACTTGGGCAGGGGCTGTTTCTGCAAAAATCAACATATTAGCATATCATTCATCTACAAACACAAAAACAATCCATGCATGCATACAATACAAGAAGTAAAAATACAAAATAGAAACATGAGAAATTTTAATATATAATCTTTAAAAGGGTGTACCATATGTACCCTCGATTATGTTATTTATTTATTTTTAGTTATGATCAATTTTCTTCTTTAGTTATAATATTATTTTAATTCTGACTCGTGAGTTTTTTAATTATGTCCCGTGTTGTGTTTAGTTATGATTCAAAAAATTAAAATAAAGTCATTTTTCTTTTTAGTTAAGTGCATAGTGTTTCCCTAGAAACGTTGCTTACTGTGCATAGTCAACATTGATCTTGGCATTGGGAAATCTGGAGATGGCATCGAAGGCTTTGTTTGAAAGAAGTAGAGTACTTGGGCACGGGCAGCGTATGCGGTATCTCCGACCACAGGCGGCACCGTTGTCCCATAAACCATCACTGGTGCCAGCAAAGTATCCATCTTCTGGGAATTGATCTTGGCTGTATCCTCCACACCTTGTTGCTTCATCATCAACAAATAAACAAAAAAAAAAAACATCCCAGTTTAGCCTTCATAACAATAATACTTGTCATATATATCTTCTATGGTACTGTAAATATGAGAATATTGGAACTATGTAGGCATCAACAACTATGGGAGTTAGGTTTTGGATTTACTAACCAGCTTGGACATGGTACTGTGATATAAGATTATGGAAGTATCTGAAATAAGAATGTTATGTTATAGATTTAAACTTCTTGTAGTGTGACTCAAAATAAATTTAATCCAAAAATTATTATTTTTATAGTAATTTTTGTATATCCAGATCTTTGTAGTTTGGTTCTCGTATCAGTTTGATTTTTGTAATTTCAATTATATCAATTGTCATTCAATTTTTTATATTTGTCAATTTAGTCTAATTTATAACAATAATTAAAAAATATATATATAAATCAAGGGCAAAAATGTTAATTTAAAAGGAAATAGGCTGTTTTAAATTGGATAGTTGTATTTACATACCATCATTTCTCTCCGCTCACGCCATATTACTCTCTTTTTATATTATTATTATTTACTATTGTGTCCCTAAAGCAAATTACTTTTGAACAAAACTTCAAAATATAATCTCTTAGTACACACCACCTACCACCACTATCACTACCGGCCATTGCCACTGTTGTGAACTCCCTCCCTCCTCCGCCACTCCCTTCCCACCTTGGTTGCTATTCTAACACCCCTCGCACTTTTAAAAATGAAAGGGATGGTAGTGGCAGTAGTAGGAAAGGGCGACATGGCTCGGAAGGGGGTGGTGGAGAGGTTGGAGAAGGGGATGACATCGGCAGTTAATGGTGTGTGTGGTAGTTCGGGTTAAGTTAAGGTTAACATTTGAGTTTGGAGTGATGAGAGTATTTTGATATTATTTAAAACTTAATTTTGTAAATTGATAAAAAAAAAATCAAAAAATTAAAATTGAGTGTGGCATGAATTGAGTAAATAATTTGTATTTAGATAGTGCAAATAAAAGCTCCATTTCAAATTGGATATTATTATCTCAATCACTTTGTGAAGTAGTAAATAGACTTATTTGGCCTTTGATTTCAATCCAATTTGTAAAGAAACATTATCAATTGAATTAAATTGACATTGTATGAAAAATCCAAAGATAAAATTGATACAATTACTTACCCAAAAAAAATGATGCAATTAGAATTATAAGGATTAAATACATGTGTAATTTTTATTTATTTTTTGATCGGCTCACTAGCTTTTTTTTTTACCAATAACAGTTAGTAGGTTAGTAATTAGATTACAATGCAGATTAACGTCTTTTCATAAACTTGAACTTGAAATCTCACACACTTTGGCACCTAAGTGCCCTCCTCATGATCACTTGGTCCAACAAAAACAGTTCACTAAAAAGCTTTTTGGCCCCGTTTGTTTCGTTGGATATAAAATGGAGGATATAATATGATGTGGGATTTAGTCAGGATATATAATGAATAGGATATAAGTATTGGATAGTATATCCCCCAAGTCATGTTTGTTGACTTGATATATAAGATTGGATATATGTTATGCATGTTTGTTTTACAAAATATATTGTGGGATATAACAAGTAATTTCCAAGATTGCCCTCATAATATTATATTATATTAAATTAAATTAAATAATATTATATTATATTAAATTCAAAATTTATATTAAATTAAATTCAATAATATTATATTAAATTAAATTAAATTAAATAATATTATATTATATTAAATTCAAAATTTATATTAAATTAAATTCAATAATATTATATTAAATTAAATTAAATTAAATAATATTATATTATATTATAACAAAAAAAAAATTAAAAATCAGATATACAAATAGATAAAATTAA